TTGCAGGTTTTTCATGTACTTGACGCATCCCGCATGTATGACAGTTTTACAATTAGCACATTGCGGACTACTTTTCGCGATAACACCACAACGCTTGCAACATTTTGTAACAGAACTATTAGCACGTCTTTCACTTGACGCCATCGTACATACGTAAATGTATGGATAGCAGAGTTTGTGGATTTACTAACCTGGAAGCTATGCTGTCGCTCAATGATTAGCTTGTTTTCCTCAACAAACTGCAGCAGTCGATCCAAAAATCTATATTCCAGCAATTTAGAAAAAGAGGAGCACAAAGTAAGATGTCTACGATTATCCATCAAATGTACGTCATCTTTTTTTATATAAAGGTAAAATCTTTCCAATGTTAACATGGAAGGAAACTTTCCACTACCAAAAGATAACTGTTTGATAACTGATTATAATAGTTCGTGATACGTACTTGAATATTATACAGGGTGGTCCATAAGTCCTTTGAAATTTCAAATTTGAATAAAATTTAACGGGTGAGCGTGAGCGGCGCGGGCGAGGTGGGGGCAGTATCTTCAGTGTCTGGGAATTCAGTCGCCATGGAGTGTTTCACTGGAGCGGATCGTGCTTTTTGTGTGCGCGCGTTTTATCAAAATAATGATTCGGCAACCATTGCGCGGCGTAAATATCGAGAATACCACAATTTACACAATTTTACAAAGTGTCCAACAGCTCAAACGATTAAGAACTGGGTTGCTAAGTTCGAAGAGACTGGTTCGACGTTAGATAAACAGCGGTGGGGTCGACCAAGGACAACTCGTATTGAAGAAAACATCAACATTGTGGCACAGTCTGTTCGTCAAAATCCTACCCAGTCTACTCGTAAGCGTTCCAGTGCACTAAACGTACCCAGAACATCTTTACAGCGGATTTTAAGGAAAGATTTATGTCTGCACGCTTACAAAATTCAGTTAGTGCAGGAATTAAAAGATAATGACGCTATTCAGAGACTAAACTTTGCGAATGAAATGTTGAATCGATTTTCTTCGCTCAATAATGTGTTGTTCTCGGACGAGGCTCACTTCCATTTAAACGGGCATGTAAATAAACAAAATTGCCGTTATTAGAGCCCCGAAAATCCAAGGCGTAAGCATCAGAAGCCTTTACACAGCCCTAAAGTTACAGTTTGGGCTGCTATGTCAGCGCATGGCATCGTAGGCCCTTATTTTTTTGAGGACGACAGAGGTCGCGCATTAACTGTTACTTCGGAGCGGTATGTAGCAATGATAGAAGAGTTTTTGACACCAGCGTTGCAGAATTTTCCAGGCTATAACACGCAGACCTGGTTTCAACAGGACGGAGCAACTGCCCACACCTCCAACACTTTTATGCCCGTCGTCTGTCAACTTTTTCCCAGCAAAGTAATTTCTCGAAGAGGAGACACTTCCTGGCCACCACGTAGTCCAGATTTGACCCCAATGGACTTCTTTTTAAGGGGCTACCTCAAGAGTAAAGTGTACGACACCACTCCGCGATCAGTTGATGTCCTGAAAGAAAATATCCGAAGAGAAATGGCAAGCATTACAGTGTTGACTTGCCGCGCAGTCATCGACAATTTTAGACGTCGTTTATATGAGTGCCGTGATCGTAATGGATTGCATTTAGACAATGTGATTTTTAAAACATAATTCCCATTCAATAAAGATGATAACAAAATATAATAATTCTTCATAATGTAGCTAGTTTGGTTTTATTCCTTTTTGTCGAGCTCAAAGGACTTATGGACCACCCTGTACAATAATGCCTCACAAAATCAGGTAACCTCATAAAATTAGACTTCAAGAATCGTCGCATCTACTTCGTATGTGCTTATCGAATCACCATGCTATAGTTTTAGTCACCGTTCTTGGCGGTGACGTCATCAAAGCGATATGAAATAATTAAACAGATCGAGTCTCCGTATCATGGGCGAACACTGCGCAGCCTAATCTTTAGTGCATCTGCTACTCTCTCCAGTATGCATGAAGTGGGTAACATGGGACCGCTGTTTTCGTTTTCTTCCTGGAAATGCTCTAGTAAATTTAGCATGAGCTGTCGGCCTTCTCCATTGATCGTATTTCTGGATATTGTACAATTTTACATTGAAGATTGATAACAGGACAACTCGAATTGCACGCCGATGTCAAGTAAGTTGCCACTCTGACAGATATGATTGAAGGGCACTCAATCGTAACGACAAAGTTTTCGAGACGGAGACACACAACTAAAAAACGTATGTCTTTGAGCTTATCGAACAGACGTTCACATACAGGGGTAGTTTGCATGTGTGTATGTATGAGGGAGATGGAGCTTTATAAAGGGATACTGCTAGTCTTACTTTGACTCGCCAAGAACGGCGACTACAACTATACAACTCGAGATCGAGTGTACTAGCTATGAAGACAGGATTTGCTTCACAAAGGAAGGAGACCTGCGACCGAGGTACGATTCGCGTCTGTAAATATTTGTTTTAAGAGCAAATCTACGGGAAAATCTCTGACGTGTGAAATATTTCTAACAGATGCGTAGAATTACCAGGGTTGGAAGAAAACAATTTTTTTCTTACATAAATGATTGGGACCCCCTGAAAGGTCAAAAAACCGAGTCTGAGCGATTTTTTTTCGTTTTCGACATTCTCTGTCATTGAATCCGTTTTCAAAAACACCAAAGTACTTTCCAAGCGCTACGTGAGCCAAGGACAGACCGACGGAAATGAGTGACATGGTTTTGTGATAGTATCCAAAAAACATAATATCTCATTTTCACACTATTCGTACATGTCAATTTTCGGTGGTTATGAAGTGTCTTCGAAAAAGATTGTAAAATAAGAATAGTAAAAAAATGTGGGTATCTATTTTTTCTCAACAAAAAAGATTTATATGACCGGTTGTACCAACCCGGTTTAACCGAAGTTCAACTTTGAACCTTGTCGTCCCAGGGAAGTGCGTTTAACGTCGGTTCAGGCTATATTTTTATAGCTTGATAATCGGTGCAAAATTGACGAGCTTTTAGGTTATGTTGCGTATAGGGCTTGATTAATGTTAATTGAAAATGGGGTATATGATTGAACAAACGTTGAAGATTTTCTGGAGTTTTATGATATATTGGTGCATCCTAGAAAATTTCAGAACTATATATTCAGGGAAGATCACTTCAACAAATAGGATCAGCATGAATTTTCCTCGCAATAGTATAAGTTACTTTTATTGTCTACAAAACCGAGAATAAAATGTCTTTTGGGTCACGATATACATTCGAAAATAATCAGGTCCACTCTCCCAAACTTCAAAAAACCGAAATTTGAGCGACTTTTATTTTTTTAGTTTTTGGCATTTTTTCCCGCCGCCACTAGACTGATTTTCAAAATTTCAAAAACTACAAAGCTTTTTAGTCCTTGACATAGTAGTAAAAATCCAGCAGTACTTTTCCAAGTGATAGACGGGCCAAGGATTTGCGGATAGACCGATAGACAGGCCAACGGAATGAGTGACTTGGTGTTTCGTGGTGTACATACGAGTACATCAGAAAAAAAGTCACGCCAGTAGGCGCGGGAAGTCATTAGTTATTTTCCTAACCAGTGCGGAAAGTGACACTTTTCCGCTCCACATCGTTCGGCCAACTGCAGTCGCGTGCGGAAAAGACTTTCTGCAAGAGTTAGCGACAACATTTTGTCTACCAGCGCCTAACAAGAAAAACAACAGTATATTATAATACTTGAAATCATATATCTTGATAACAAAAACTGAAAAAACATAATCAAATTTATTATTAATGTTAATAACAAAAGAGCAGTTGCTGGCATGTTGAAGATTTATGGCGGACGACGCATTATCAGCATCCCTTCTGTTGTAGTTTCTAAAATGTCGCTTGGTATGGCATTATTCAAACTTTCCACCTCAGAAACGTATATAACTTTATTTAAATTTGAGCTGTGCTTTCTTGACAGGTTGACTTTGACAAGTTGCTTTGTTCTACTCGATCGCTGAGGTTACTTTACCTGCTACGTATAATTTCGTTGTTGCCTGATAGATCTTTCTCTTCCGGGCAGCATTCTAATAGTTTTTGGTTTGAGAGTGATATGCTCCCGAATTGCTCTAGAAATGATGGAAGGAAATACAACGTGCAGAGGAACGGAATTAGTGCTGAGCACTGCTGAGTTACAGAGTTACTCAGAGTTACTTCGACCAGGTCACTGGGAACCAGCTCCAGTTATCGACTTAATTAATTATCAAATTCAATCAGCTTTCAGAATGTTACATCTAGATTTCAATTATGTTGACAATGACGTATTACAAACAATGAGATTAAATTTAACACCGGCAGGGTTATCACGTAAAAAACCTACATAATAAAAAAAACTGTAAAATTTCATGTACTAAGTAGCCGCTAGTTGATTCCGCGCCTACTACAAGTGATCAGAATGTCAGCTACTTCAAAGGAAATGGCATAAAAAATAAATTTATTGCAATTTTTTAAGTTACTTAATACGGGTGACATTTTTACTTTTCTGCACGCACGCACTTTCACAACGCTGGTAGAAAAATAATGAAAGACAAGTCAGCAATAATGTGTTATACACTTTATAACTTAGCAGTCGCTAATTAATATAGTGTATTTTTCCAGTAACAAAAAGTGGGAACTATTATATTTAGTAATCGTTCAAACAGTGCTAACGTTTGAACAATATTTTTGTCGTCAAAATGTTTGAAGAGGTAAAAATCTTCGTTCTTTCATCGAAGAAAAAATTTTATGCATCCCTTTGGTGAGATGCCATTATAAGCTTTAGCAATACATAGAGCATCTAATTTTGCCATTTTTTTTAAAAGAAAGCATGACATGTTGAATCAAATCCCATAAAGTTTGGTTTAAATCTTTTCACTGGGCGGAAAACAAAAACAACATATTAATATTTGTGAAAATTTTCATTGGCACTAGTGGCAACGGATATATCTTCATATTTATTTTTTTAACGGTTCTGTTTTGTTTTTCAGCATCAAAATGGTTGTTGGGGAAGCAATAAACAACATCATGGGAGGGATAGAAAACACGGGGACTGTCAAACAGCACAATCATAAAAAAAAACTAAGGCAAAGGTAAGATGTAGTTTCATTCTAATATCCTTTATAAAAATTTTTGTTTAATAACTTTTGAACTACATCGCGTAATTCAACGAAATTTTTATAACGTAGTAACTAGTTGTCCTTCATATGAAGATGTCCATGGAAAACAATTGACTCGAGTAGATGGCTCGTGGAGTAGTACATTGTTGGTACTACGGGGTCGGTAGAAATGTTCATATGTGCCCCCGGTACCAGGCTTCGCCACCCCAGCACTACTACTATAACGTCAGCCATAAATTAGCTTTAATGTAATATTTTTGATACATTTTACACCCTGCATAACAATGCCCAAAAATAATATTTTTGGAAAGTACGATCATTTAGCCGGAAAAATAGTCTGTTTGATTTCACTAGAATGATCAGTCTTTTCCCGACTGCTTCAGAAGGAGGGTTATGTTAAAAATAACGGGTCCAAACGCCTTAATGGATTTTCACTCAACAAATTTCTATTTCACGGGCTACAGATTAAAGGAATTATTGGATTTTGACGTTTGGGATGTTTTTAACTTTATATTGAAAGTGCGGGTGACACTGGGTATTAAAAAATTACAGTATCAAATTTCGGATTTTAAATTCAAATTTTAACTTTGAAATTTCTATTTCTCTGGCTACAGCTTAAACGGCTTGATGGATTTTTATATTTGTGGTGCCTTTAGATTCATCTTGATAGCATAATTAAAACTGGATTCTTTGCAGTTACTTCATTCAAGTTTTCATTTTTTTAATAGACTGTCTAAGAGGGTAATGTTTTTCGCGCGTGGGTATGTATCTATGTATGCAAAAAAATCTATTTCACTGGCTACATGCCCATCGGGATAGTTGCCAATAAATTGATTGTAACATTTAATATATCAAGCTCCTCAAGCTTTTTACTCTGAATTAAATTATTCTGTTAATAAGTTAAACTTTATTATAATTTTATTTTGAGGTCGTTAATTATGATTGATTGTTCGACCATCTACTACTGTAATATAAACTCTTTGTAATTAGAAATTATTTTCCACTTTTTAGTTCGGTTAGCTATAAAAGCGTGTTTTTTAGTTTTTTTTTAAACTTGTGTTAATGTACTTGTTGAGAAATAATGTCTTGTTTCAATACAGCTCCTATCGATTTACACTGCAACTAATCCTCAAAAAGTTCAACAAAAATTTTGGTTTAGTGGTTTGGAAACCCTGGGGTTTCCCTACAATCTTATTACGTTACAGGGATAGCGATCGGCTGGGTTATTATGTAAAAAACGACAAAATGTCAACTTCCTGCCAAGATAGTTCCTAGGGTGCTAATAGTACGTTCCACGTTTGCTCGCTATGAGCTCTGTGAACGAACATCTATGAAGGAATGACTCAACGACGCGACACGCTCAATGACCATGCCGGTGAATGCCGAAATAGTCTGTAGAGTATACTCTAAGAAGATTTGTGGTTGTCTATTTCTTCTTCTTCTCCTTCTTTGAGGGTTATGGCGTGTGCAATTTGCCAGCACATCCGTTTGGTTTCAGCGTTGTCTGGTTCTCGGCCATCCTGCAAACAATGTTCTTTCACTCGTGGTTTCTAGTCTGTGTTATTTTAAGTTGCTAAGTTTCATTATTCTGTATATACAACTTAAGTTTCTTTAATCCTCGGGAAGGAGATGTTTACTGGGTTCTTATACCATCCATGTAAGTTGCATATTGATTCCATTTTCTTTGGCCGCAGCAATCAATGTTTTAGTAAGTAGAGATATGTAGTCAGAGCAGGGGTCAATTCCTCCTTTACTAATGCTGAGAACTGAGCTTTTAGAGTCCGTAAATATGATGGAATTTCTGATATTCTTATTAATGATAGTGCAGCATGCTTTGTTTACAGCTGCAATTTCGACTGAGCAAATAGTCAAATTATTTGGTAGTCTGGCAGAGAAGTTGTACTCCAAGCTAGGGATATGTATACCTATTCCCGATCTGGCTTTGTATTTTGAAGCATTCGTGAATACGAAGGTATTAGCGTCCTGTAAGCTTTTGGTATATTCCTTAAATCCACTGTGATTACTGATAGCTTTTTGAGTGGTAAGTGTAGTTGAGGTATATCTGCCATCTGTATCTCATATTCCACATCGAAGCATGGTAGCTTGTCTCCTCTAGATATCCTATCAATGTTCTGTCCAAGGCATTTACTAATAAGGGGGATTCTCTGTTTCTCCACATTCCAGTTCTCTGCCTGCAGTAATTTCCGAGTTCGGTTATTAGCCCTTTCAGTACGGCTGACATACTTATACGTCAGTTATAGAATATACCCACCGGCCGGCTGACGTATATATCCGGCGTCGATGAATTTCATCCATTGGCCTACTTCCTTACAGATGCGACACCTTTACTACAAACTTGCATTTTACCACAGACGAGCGTCGGAATATTATGTCAACGTTTCGCTCACCGCTTAGCCGGACGACGGAAGATTTTGGCTTTGCCGAAAATTCACGACATCCGGCTACACTGTCTAACGTCTGTATCATACTTGCGATTTTTGAAACCGAGCATTAGACTGTGATTAGTCTTACATGAAATGGCGGAGGAAGAGCGCGCTGGTCTCTCAGAAAGGGCAGAAAACCACTTCATTTTGATCAGGGAAGTGCGAGGCTGACAGAACGGCATTTTTCGGTATTGGTTCCAACAAAAGAGGGAAAGAAAACTGCCACTAGGAGATGCAGTCTGCTCCCAGACGAAAGCAGGAACAAAGAAAAGAAAGGAGAGCAGCTACATGTGTAGAGAATGCGACTTTGGGCTATGTGTAGTGCCCTGCTTTCGGATTTATCATCAAGTAGCCGACTTTTAAAAATTAACTTGCTCAATGTTTTTTTTTTTCGTTCAGTCCTGAGTTTTTATTATATTTTCAGCAATTAAATGTTTGATTTTTATTGAGTAATTAAGTTTTCAAGCTGCATTGTTCCCTGTGTTACTGTACTTTAACCTTTATTATAGTGAAGTATATATACGTCATCAGGCGCCCAGACAATGCAAAATGAGTCGGCGGTGGTGACAGTACAGTTAAAAAAGATCCCGTACTGAAAGGGTTAGTTCCAAAAGTGGTTGGTCCTGGGTCCTGATCTTCTTAAGTATGAATTTTGCAGCCAGCCAGAGTCTTCTATGGTTAATATCCATTTCCCCTGTCTCACCCAATAAGGATAGTTTAGAGGTGGATCTCATGATTCCTGTTATCAGTCTTAATCCTTAAGAAAACGCTGTTTAGTTTGTTGGAGTGTCTCAAGCTGCAAGTTTGAGTGATGATACTGCCATATTCTATGATATGTGATTTAACGAGTCCGTTGAATACCGAATGGAGTGTGGATGGATCCGCTCTCCATGTGACTCTGCTAAAAACCCTCATTAGCTTGATGCCTTGTTTTGCTTTTGTGACCATATGAGCTATTTGGACGTCCCACTTTCGGTTTTTTTAGATGTGTATCCCAAAGCATTTGGTTTGGTTTGTACAATTGATAGTGTTTCCTTGTATTTTAAATGGAGGTATAGGTGTATTTCTTCGGCCTTTCGTGAACCACCTGCACGCACATTTATCGCTGGATATTTTCAGTTAATTTTCGCTCATCTATTCAGTAATAGTGTCTAGAGCGCCATTTGTTTCTTCCACCATGACATCTATCTGGGCGCCTTCAGTAAATATAATTAGGTCGTTTGCATATCCAAGCAACTTAATTCGGTTGGGGATTATTCTGAAGATTTTAATTAGATGTCCCCCTCCCCTTTGATTTTTTGAACGGATCAATTCAAAAAATTGAAACTTGAGCTAATGAAATTGATGCGTGGATACCATATTTTACAGTAAAATTGAGAGATGAAAATGTCAACATGGCCTCTGGGCGCCATCTTGAAAAAAAATATATGAAAACGGGGGTCTTGTGGCACATCATTTTGAAGCTCCTGACGAGTACTTTATTGCCCTAGAATATAAAGTCAATACCTTTACCTACTACAAAATGGTAGTACATTTAATAATTACCTGAATACATTGACATTTAACTTGATAATTCGAATAAATACGTTGAGTTTAGTTTAGAAGATGCTGGAAATGGTTGCCTTGAACTTCTTGACAGAATAACAGCCGGTCCGTAATTTGTTCGCGTCGAACATTTTCAAACATAGTAACATCGATATTTCTACAAATATTTGTTATTCTCAGCCGTACCTTTATATCCAATACTGAAGCAGGTTCAGTTTCTTACACCTTTTGCTTCAAATAGCCCCATAAAAAAAGGCTAAAGGTTTCAACAGGACCTTGACTTCCAATCCAACGACCGGGGAAATTGTTATCTAAATAATTCCTAACTTGTCTGTAGTAGTGTGGTGGAGCACCATCTTGCTGGAATACAATATCAGTATCGAATTCATTAGGATTCGCTTCGACGATTTTGGATGATTAGAGGGTCAATAGTACTTTCCAGCATATCCAAATACAGTTCCCCGGTTAAAGTTTGTTCGTTGAATAGAGGCCCCACAATATGATTTCCCAATATCCCAGCCCAAACGTGAATTTTTTGTGGATATTGAGTATGAGTTTCCCGGAAGACGTGAGGATTGGTGTCACTCCAATAACGACAATTCTGTCTGTGCACATTACCGTTGAGAAAAAATGTACATTCGTCACTAAAACAAATATTTTGGATATAGGTAGGATGCCGTGCAATGGTTTCCGTCATAGTCTCGCAGAATTCTGTTCTTTGATCAGGATCATCTTCAGTTAGCTGACGTACCATTTGAATTTTGTATGGGTGATACTTATTCTTTTTCTCCATACTCCATACAGTAGAAGGACAAACCTCACATACATTCGCGATGGAGGAAGTAGACTGTTGGGGATTTACTATGATCTCACCAATTATTTGAACTTGCTTTTTTTCCGGGATGGTCTGATGACCTGGCGGCTTTTTGTTACTTTCACTACCAGTAGCTGTAAATTTAGATACAAGTTCCCTTAAATATTTCC